GACATTGGGGAGGGAAAAAAAAAAAGTGAGCGCTGTGTATTGTGTAAGACTGATGAATCACAGATCTGTAAAAAAAAAAAAAATAATACAATAAAAAATAATAACAATAAAAAGAAAAGAGAAATGAATACAAACACATAGGTAGTGACAAAAAGATTTTTCATAAATATCATCCCAAATTTTACTAGTACTGATAAAATCTTAAAAGTACAAGCTAGACACTGCTCTCATTTCTTAATTGAAAAAAAGAAACCTACATGGGGGAATGCATCCATTTTGTCTTTATGGAAAAAAAAAAAAAGTTTAAAAAAAACTTAGTAACACATACTATTATTATAGACATAAAAAAAAAAAATTAAAGATTTTATATTTTCTAAGATTAAATCACTAGTAATATTTAAAAAAAAAAATTGCCCCAATTCAGCAATCAGCTTGGCATAACCTTCATTCTCTTCTCTTAACAAATTGAATTTTTGCTGCTTATAACTGAAATTAGATAAACATCATAAAGGAGATAAAATTAATTCAATTAACAAGCTTGCATATAAGTACTGTATTCTTCTCAAAAAAAAAAAATATTTTTCTTATATAGAACAATTATAAGAATAGTTGTTGAAAGAAAAAAAAAAATATCTTTTAAAATAGAAAATAACAGTGATTCATAAGAGACACCCAAAAAAAAAAAACACGGGGAAAACCAGTAACACAAAAAAAGAATATTGCTAATCCAAAAAAAAAAAAGCATGCCACTATTTCCATCGTTGACTAAGAATATACCCTAGAGAAAAAAAAAAATTGTAAATTATTTTATTGGTAATAATAAAAGCACTGAATATTACTTTAACTTCTAATATGGAAAAAAATTAACACTGGTTTCACACAGGTAAAGTTCACAAAAAAAAAAATAATCCTAGGCTTCTTTTAAAAGGATAAAACACAAGACACGCTAAAAAAAAAAAAAACAACAAAAATCTTCAAACTGCCATTAGAAACATCTAGTATTCAAAATGAGAACTAAAGAAAACATACTCAGATACTTGATCTGCAACATAAAGATAAATGTACTTACAAGAGTTTTGTCTTGATTTTAACTGACTTTTGATTGAACTGCTGTAAAAAAAAAAAAAGCCCTAATGATTCCAATGTTTCTGGATCCAAGCGTTCCTTTAAAAAAAAAAAAGAAACTAAATACTGTATTAAAAAATATTAAAGGCCATTTATTCCTTAGCATTCTAATACATCCACAATTTAAATACATTCAAAATAATTTTTCCCAAATAAGAATATTAAAATCACATTAAATATATATCAATAAATTTCAATTTATTAAAAAAAAAAAAAAAAATTCAATTTAACAAAAATGATGACTCTCCAAATATTGAAAAAAATGTGACATATAGCTCTTTAAATAAAACTAAAAAATTATATGCATGCTGTACACAGCCTACAAATGACAAGAACTACAAATGAAATTCTGATTAAACCTATGTCTGTCAACTAAAAAAAAAAATAAGAGTAATACAGCACCTTCAGCCTTCATTATTTTCTACTGTTAAAAAAAAAAACTAGTACAGCGAAGACAAGGACATCTTCCAGGTCTGAGTAATAGCATTTCTCCTTGGTTCTAAATTTATGAACATAAAATGGTTTACTCAACAATGATTATGACAAGTTCTAGAATTTATTATTTTTAAACTACCTCCATTCTTTTTCTCCTTGCCTAATAGTTTATGAAAAACTGTTCAGTTTAAAAGTTGTCCACATTTCTACTCAGTTGATAGATGCTTACCTTTTCCTTATTTAGGAACTTACTAGGTCAGGAATATCACAAAAAAAAAAATATAATTGATATGAAGCATGCATATTTCACATAATTAGCATGTCAAAAAAAAAAAAGCATTCCATTTCAAAATCCAAATCTCACCTTATAATGAATAGCAAAAAAAAAAACAATATCCTCCTCCATTAACATGATTAACTGTGATTATAATTGTAAAAAAAAAAAATCTAGAAAGGGAAAGTATTTTTTATAACTTACCAAACATGCTAATACCAATTGTGTAAAATAGTCTCTCTTGCTTTTTTCTTCTAAACAATTTGTCTCAATATCTATAATGATGGAAGAAAAGAACATGAAAGTTTGATTTTTCTAGACTGTCTCCAGCACTATAATAAGATACTTATTTTCTTTAAAACTAGCTACTTTTAAAATGCCTCATTCTGAAATTGGAAACAAATTTGCAACTATAGTAAGCAGGAGCTGTCCTTCAAAAAAAAAAAAATGCTCAGAATTAATTTCTCCTGATACTGGAGACTGACCCTGTGACCAATGGCATATCCATAAAATGGTAAGTTGATTACACAGGAGTTACATGCTATAAAAAAAAAAACAACAAAACTTCAAAAAAATAATGTTTTCAAAAAAGGAAATATTCAAGCAAAGTTTAAATGACAACACATCAGAGATGCTAAAGAAGAGATTCCTTCCTAAAAAAAAAAATTGAACTAGGTGACAACAAAGATCTCTTCTAACACTAAAGATTTAAAAAAAAAAAAGGATTAAACCTTTAACCTTGGCCACCTTGGCACCATGTTCTAAAAAAAAAAAAAGGCCATCAACTCTACGAAAAGACAGTATTAAAAGAGTATTTTTAAAAAAAAAAAATGAATTACTCTAGTCAGCAATCAAAAATTATTCATGATTTTTATTTTCTTCCTGTTGAAATATTAAGAAACTGAGACCTCCGAGTTTCAGAAGATTATTCAGAAAATTTGTCAGTTTTATTAAGTATGAAGGAAATAAAACAATTAGCTCTTAATGCCAAGCATCAAAAAATTCAACCAGGATTGACAGGATTTCAAAGCTGATCTCAGAAAAAAAAAAATAATGATTACATACTATTATATTAAGGTCAACTTGTAATTTCCAAAAAAAAAAAATTTTAGTGATATAATAAAATTGTCTTCTAAGGGTTTTACAGTTCAAAAAAAAAAACCTACCACTGATCTGCTTCAGTTTACTTTCTAGTGCCATAACTGAAAAAAAAAAAAGAAAAGAATTTATCATCAAACATTTCCACATTTTCTTGGCCCTTCTCCTTTTTCCCGTCTTGGACAGTGCCATTTCCCAATATCCTGGCCACTGTAGCTAAGCACATGGTCAGCTCAAGCGTATTAAGAGAATTTGAGGGTATAATTTATACAAAAAAAAAAAAAATACAATCTCATTCTCTTAATTAGACTTTTAATCCATGTGTATAAAAAAAAAAACTTCCAGGGATTCCTAGTTGTCTCCCTGTTATCTGGTCTTCTGGTCTCTCCTCAGGCTAAAACTTCAAGGATACTGATCTTGAGGGGTCAGGACTAAACTGGGCCCATTCTTTTAACCAACATCTATCTACCAAGGCCCAAAAGTCCCTAAGATCTACCCCCAAAGTCCCTAAGATCAGGGCACCTGGATAGCAGGTTGATCCTCTTCAAGCCAAGTCTCCTCTCCTCTTAGCCGTCTGACCTGATCAAGGTACCACTCTCTGGGTTCTGACCATGTTAAGAAATGCTTAATAGGACCTCAGTAAACTTCTTTGCTGAGCTATCTCAACAATCAATACACGACTCTCTTAGCACAGTTATGTCTTCCCTGTTTCTTTCTTCTTTTTGTCCTAACTAATGAAGATATTCTAATAAATTCATTCATTATCCCTGACTCATAAACCCTGAAATCAGTACCTAGTAAATTCTCTTTAATTTCCCCTATAAAAAAAAAAAAAAGCCCTCAACCATTTCCAACTCTATGTCCCAGTATCACCAACAAAAAAAAAAAGCTCAGAGGTCCCATCAGTGCATCAAGTTACATCAGACTTCCCTCTCCAGGTTAATATAGCTCTCAGGCCCCCTCATTCTTACATAATTAGTCTTTTAAAGAAAATTGTTATCTTAACCAGGGAAGTACAGCAATGATTTTTCTTATAGCTCTTAAAATATTGGAAAAACATGATATAGTAAAAAAAAATTATGGGCTCTGGAACCAAAAAGACCCAGGTCCAAACCCTGTTTTACTGGCTATGTGGCCTTGAAAAATCCCTTCAAAAAAAAAAAATTTTCTAATATGTACACCTACTTTACAGAAGTTGCTGTAAAGAAAAAAAAAAAATTAAATGCATAACACAATGCTTAGAACATAGAAGGTGCTCCAAAAATAGCATCTACGTTATTATTGCCATTATCATTATTAGAGGTAGCTCCCATTCCTACTCCTATTCCCCTAGTTTGGTCTGGGGTCATCCTTCGATCATTTTTTTTTTTCTGCTAACAGTGAGGGTGGGTGAGTGAGGGGACAGGTAAGGGAAATTCTCTTTCCAAGTTTGCCATTCTAATCTTGCTTGTAAAAATTGACCGGATAGGCTAAAAAAAATTCCCAAGAGCAACCAAACATCCTCATAAATTTATGTTAATAGTAAAAAGCAATGACTTATAACAATAATTCATATTACTAAAGTAAATATGAAGGGAAAATATATCCTAATAGAATAAATCAATAAAGAAATTACTGGAACTTACTAGTAAGCTGATAGCTGATGATTACCCAAAAAAAAGACATAAAATATACTCCTGACGCTATCAAGGAATGACAGCTTCCACAAAATGTTACCTACAAATCACTCTTTCAGTCCTACAAATTTATAGTAAAACCCATTTTTTAAAATTTTTTAAACAGTTTCAAGCTATATTTATATGTAACATACATAAAAAAAAAAATTTAGTGCCTGCTTTAAAAAATTAAGCTTCAAAGGTTTTGTTGTAAAAAAAAAAATAAATCAATTCAATAGATAGTATGAACTTATACTTAATGATTCAAAAAAAAAAAATTTTAAAATCGAAATAAGGCACTATTAATTATGCCAGGGGAAAAAAAACAAAAGTGGGACATATGGTCACCCCATCAGTGGTCTGCTCTTTTCATTAATAAAAAAAAAAACACATACATTTTGACCTGTTCCTGACATTACTTCTGTTATGAATAAAAAAAAAAATGAAGGATCAAGCACCAGGCATTCAGATTTGATGAGATCAAATTAAAAAAAAAAAAGTAAGACATTTAAGTAAACTATCTATTCTAGGAATTAAGATTAATGAGCTAAATTAATTCACTCCAGCTTGACAAACTCTCAGAGGATGTCTTATTTTATTTTAAAATGAATATTAAAATGTCTGGTAAAGGTTTCTATTAGATCAAAGTTTTAGAAAGCATAACACTGATGGGGAAAACTCTGCTCAAAGTTATTTTAATTCAAATCTAAAATTAAGAGAAATAAATTTATAATATACATTATTTTTTAAATCCATGCTTCCAAAAAAAAAAAACTACCTTTTGTTCTAAGTCAAAGAAATACTCCTTTTTAATCTTAAAAAAAAAAATATTTATTCTGGACAAATAGAGAAGTTGCTATTTCCAAAGCTGGAAAAAAAAAAACAAAACAAAAGTACTTTTGTTTACTTTGGCTCTTCTTGCTCTTTCTAAAATTAAGAAGAATCAAAACAGTATAATAGCAAAGTAAATATCTCTTGAGTGTCCTAAGTTTGAGATTCTGACATTCATTGATAACCTCCACTGAGTAAGATTAATTATATGGTTACTAAAATCTGAGTAATTCAGACTAACTGAACTTCAAAAAACTTAGCAAAAAAAAAAATGAAATGACTTAATTTAGCTCAATTTTATATAAACATACATTCTAAAAAAAAAAAACTATTTAAATTATAAACTATATCTAAAGCTAGTTTATAAACAGAAAAAAAAAAAACATTTGACTTACAACATTATATTCTCTATAAGGTAAAGAAACGAAAAAAAAAAATTTCTACAAATAGTTTGAAAGAAAACATTTTTTTAAACACAGTAAAAAAAAAAAACATACAGCACTTTTTACAGGTGAAATAAAGGATTGATACCTACCAAAAAAAAAAAATACATCAGCAAGAATGGAGGGCATATCCTCACGAAATTCCTAAAAAAAAAAAAATAATTATTCATAGTAAATACAAGAACAGCACACTAGCAAGTATGAAAAAAAAAAAATACTCTTCAGTAAAACCTAAAAAAACCCCAATACCACTACGTTGACAAATAATAAAATTCAAGTTTCATAATACAGAGAAAACAGGAAGAGACAACAGAAAAAAAAAAAATGTTTAAATGACTACCATGAAATAACTTGATAAAACACTTAATAAAAAAAAAAACAACCTAACAAGTGGGGGGCGTGGGTGGTTCAGTCATTAAGCG